AAAATAGTGTCTTAGGTGTCCAAGAGCTATCAGGAGAACTACATAGAATGTAAGGGACATCATAATGAATGGCTAGAAAACGTATTTCTTAAGATAGCATTGATATGCAGTAATCTGTGAAGCACCCTGCCCCCAACACACAATGTAATATTGTTTCCAAGAATTTTAAATTTTCTCAGCCATCTTGGAGGTTCTAAAAGAAATGCTTTGTTGTTCTCTTCGAAGCCACAGTGGTGCATGTTAGAAGGATAGGAGGACTGGCACTGACTAGGGCAGTGGTGGCGAACCTATGACACGTGTGCCATAGTGGGCATGCAGAGCCCTCTCAGCCGGCACACGAGCCAAGTCACCCCAGCATTGCCCCAGCAGCCGAGCATCGGACAACAGTGTACATAGGGACCATGCGCATGCTCAGAAAGGAGTAGTGGTGCCAGGCAATGATGTCACATAACTCATTAGCTGCGACTCATCTGAGCTTTCACATGGTCAGTCAGTGCGCTGCCAAGGATTTGCTTGGACTGGCTGTGAGTTGTTTTTTCTAAACTAAAACCTCAGTTTTCAGGTTTTACTGCAGTGTTGGCACATTGCAATAAATAAGTGAATTTTGGGTAGCAGTTTGGGCACTCGGTCTCTAAAAGGTTCACCATCACTGGGTTAGGGTTAGAAAAATGAGGTGTCCTGGCATGATTTTGATGGTTGGAATGTGTTTAGAATGGGCAGAAATGATGAGCAGTGGAGAAAAAGGTACTCAAGTATGGCCAATTGCAGAATCCCAAAACACCCCAAAAGTAGTTGGCCAGAGGAAGGCCACATGGTAAAAACACTGCAGTTATACTGTCCCAGAAGGGAGCAGGGATAAGAACAAAATGAACTTTGTGTAACTCACAGCTAACAAGCTAGCCTGACCTCCAACATAGTAATCAAAGGAACAGTGGAAACTGATTATAGCTGCCATGAAAGTTGCAAATGTGCAGGGAGTAAGAACATGGCAAGTCTGTGTGAATCTTGAGCTGACAAGAAATAGACATGGGAAATGTCTGGTCCTTGACAGAAGAAAAGACTCTTTGAAGCTAACAGCTCTGGGGGTGTGGCTACATTGATGCATGAGAAGTGTATTAGGTGACCTAATTGCGTACCTAGAGTATAAAACACATGTACTGGGGTGCAAATTTTGAAACACTGCTTTGGGCTGAACATCCCCTTTTGTTTCCCTGTATTCTATAGAGCACTAGAATAAATCTGGTTTTGGCTCTAAGTCTCATCTCAGGCTCCTTTTGGTTCGGGTCTGGGGTCCACCCGGGTTTGCCCTAGCTGTTGACTGGTTGAGTTCAGTAACAGTTTCTTGCACCCAGTGTGGGGTGACTGAGCGGACTAAAGGCAAATTTTGCCTCAAAATTCTTAAGCCTTCTCCCTCAAAGAACCTCTTTTCGGATGCGTGGATGACTGGCGATAGAGAGCTCTCCCTCAGCATTTGCGCGAGGAAAATTTGGCTGGAGACCTCCGCCAGCTGTGAGCAGGGTTTGTGGAAAGGTGATTGAGAGAAAAGCAAGACTAAAAGAGCTGGAAGAAGGAGTCCCCAGGTAAGGAGAAAGCCTTTGTTCAAAAGGGCCACTGCCTGGGGGAAGACCCGGTTCCTGAAGAAAGGGAGGGCCTCTGATTACAATCCGGTGCTGGTTAGAGTCCAGCAAGCTGCCTTTCCCTGCCTGATGGCCAGTGACTCCCAGGTAGGGTTGGACCCTATGGGAAAGAGACAAGATTGAACAAAAGGGGGTAGTCCTTGGATGGAGGGGATTTTGGAAGCCACACAGGGCTTCTAGAAACTCTTGTTGGTGCAGGTGGAGTGAAGTCTGGATAGAGTCCAGAAAAAGCAGATCCCGCATAAGTGTACGAGCACTTTTGACCAGGGACGCCTGGCAGAATTGGCTGGCATTGCTCCTTCTCCGAGGCCAGAGTGGCCATGCTGGCTGCCCGGCAATGCCAAACCAGCTGTGCCTGGCTAACTGACTGCCTGCAGTATGTGAAGCTGTGGCCACTGGTTGGTTGCTGCCTGCGGCTTGCAATGGCACAGGGGAAGTGGGGGATGCTGGTTGCTTGAGACTGGACTGCCTGGAGGCCATTGATGCAGTGGAAGGACCATGCCCAGGTGCCCCTCACTACACAGCAGTGAGATCTGAGGGAGTGCCTACCTGGGAACCCTACACCAGGCTGAGGAAAGTTTCAAAACCACAAGGAGACCGAAGGACCGTGGAACCTTTGGAGGACCTCAAGTTCTTGTTCAAACACCAACCCTGCAAGGGAGGACCAGTGGCATAACAGACCAGGACGAGAATAAGCTGACATCAGGGTCAGTCAAGGGCCTGCAACTGGATGGGGCAAGGGAGAAGAGCCCTGAAGAAAAGCAGCCTATCTGGGACCAGGATCGGGTCCCGGCTTGAAGACTGAAAGCAAAGAGACTTGCATTTGCCTAACGCTAAGTAGCCTAGATAATAATGCTGAAAGGAAGAGGGGGAGTTTCTTGAAGTTGCTACTCTGGCTGTCTCTGTGTACTTCTGTTAATTTTGTTACTCCCTTCTACAGCACATTTCTTGTAGAAATTCTCTTTTTTCAGTGTTAGAATACTGGCTCAGTGTGCAGTAGAATGCTTTCACTTTAGCGGCACTGGTGAAAACCCAGCATGGATTTCTTATCTCTGGAAATGTCATATGTCTGGATCCCGACCAAAGACCAGGTAAAACTGACAGAAGGGTAAAATTGCAGAAGGGCAGGCACTGCCATCCCAGATCAGCCAAAGCAGAGTAAAAAGGAAGAATTCATATTTGGCTTGGAAAGGATTCCACAGGTCCCTGGGAAAAACAATCTCCATGTGAGGCCACTACAGGGAAGGACCACGGAGGCACACTACTAGTTGGGGTGGTGGCGGTGGACTGGCAACATCTCTACAGCACCCGAAAGAGCAACAACCAATTGGCACAAGCTGGAATAGCCCCCCTGTGTGTGTGAGAGACAGTTTGGTGCGGTGGCTAGCACGTAGCTTTGTCTTTGCTAAGCTGGAAAGGCCCTGGCCTGCAGCAGGATGGGCATCTACATGTGGATGCTGACTGCTATGCATTATCCACACAAATGGGGCTGGTGAGCGCCACTTGGTACAGCCTGGAATGCACGCTGCGGGTGCAAGAGAACTTGGTGCTGGTTTGTATTTTTAATTTAATGTTTATATTTTTGATTTATATTATATTTATTTTAACTTAGTGTTGTAAGCCGCCCCGAGGCTTCGGCGAATGGGGCGGCATAAAAATGTTTTAAAAAATAAAAATAAATAAATCAAAGATGGAAGTCAGCAAATATGCCTAGCTCAATAGCCCACACTGAAAATAATTGGCAAGTACAACACTCCACAGGAGAAACCCTCTACGGGGGATCTCTGGACTCAGCTTCACAACATAGGTTTGCCTTCCAAACATGGAAACCACCCCGGGACCTATGGGGTTAGTAGCCAGAAGGCTTTCATGACCTTCCCTACAGAAGGACAGGGCACTGGATATATTCTTCCCAACCTCCGAATTACTGCAGAACTCCCCAAGGGCGGAGGTAGTTCAAACATTGAAAGAAGACATTGCCAAAGTGGGGTAGGCTATTTATTTCTCCATGCCATTCTTCCACCAGTTGGGGTTTTCTCAAATCACCATGACATTAGAGTGCCAGCCTCTGCATTCTCTGTGTTTCTAGTGAAACAGCTGGTGCCATTTCAGACACACAATGAAGTTAGCTCAACTTCAGCAACTTGCCATACAAAGCTGCTAGACATTGCATTGTTAGCAAGCCAGGACAGAGTTTGCAACACTTGCGGAAGACAAAACTGTTTGCTTAGAGCATCTCATTCAAAAGCTCAATGCTTTACAACCTGCTTTAAATTTCATTCTGGTAAAAGTGGATTGGGAGGATTGTTGTTTTGGTTCTCCAACTAAGGCTGGCTACAAAAACTTGCAACTTTATATTTGCTTTTTTATGCTTTTCCTTCTTATTTTGCTTGCTGTTGCTGATAGTGTTTTTCAACAATTATTCATGCTAATATTTCTCAGATTTGCACATGGTAGGCATGTCATGAGCAGGGCCGGCTGGGGCCAGGGGCCAGACTGGATAACCCAGGAGGCCCTTGCTGACTCATTCTGTTTCTATCCTTCTATGTTTCTCTGTTCAAATGGCCCTCACATTACCAGCAGTCTGCACCTTCAAGGCAAAGCTGCAAAGGCTTAGTAACCTAGCTCCCTAATCAAGAGGAATCTGTCTTTTAATAAGAAGATTCCTTTGAAGGGGGGAAACTGTTGCCAATTGCAGCACCCCAAAACACCCCAAAAGTAGTTGGCCTGAGGAAGGCCCCAAAAGTAGTTGGCCAGAGGAAGGCCACATAGTAAAACACCACAGTTATACTGTCCCAGGAGGGAAGGCAGATAAGAACAAAATGAACTTTGTGTAACCCACAGCTAACACGCTAGCCTGACCTCCAATATAGTAATCAAAGGAACAGTGGAAACTGGTTATAGCTGCCATGAAAGTTGCAAATGTTCAGGGAGTAAGAACATGGCAAGTCTGTGTGAATCTTGAGCAGACAAGAAATAGACATGGGAAATGTCTGGTCCTTGACAGAAGAAAATACTTCTTGAAGCTAACAGCTCTGGGGGTGTGGCTACATTGTTGTAAGCCGCCCCGAGGCTTCGGCAAATGGGGCGGCAAAAAATGTTTTAATAAATAATAAATAAAATATTGATGCATGAGAAGTGTATTAGGAGACCTAATTGTGTACCTAGGGTATAAAACACATGTACTGGGGTGCAACTTTTGAGACGCTGCTTTAGGCTGAACATCCCCCTTTGTCTTCCTTTATTCTATAGTGCGCTAGAATAAATCTGGTTTTGCCTCTAAGACTTGTCTCAGGCTCCTTTTCACTTGGGTCTGGGGTCCATCCGGGTTTGCCCTAGCTGTGGACTGGCTGAGTTCAGTAACAGGGGCGTGCACTAGGGTAGGGTTAGAAATACGAGTTGCTCTGGCATGACTTTGATGGTTGGATTGTATTTAGAACTGGCAGAAATGAACAGCTGTTCAGAAAAAGCAACTCAGGGAAGTCTTCTTCAAAATTGCCGTTTTCAATGGAACTTTTGCCCTATATTAAGGTTAGGGTTGTGCACAAGGGAAGGTTAGGCTTAGGAAAACGAGGTGTCCTGGCATGATTTTGTTGGTTGGAATTTGTTTATAAAGGGCAGAAATGAGATGTGTAGCAAAAGCTACTCAAGGAAGGCTTTTTCAAAATCGCATTACTTTCAATGGACCTTTCGCCCTTTATTAGGGTTATGGATGTGCACCAGGGTAGGGTTCAGGTCAGAAAAGGGAGGTGTCCTGGCATGATTTTGATGGTTGGAATGTGTTTAGAATGGACAGAAATAATGAGCTGTGCAGAAAATACTACTCAAGGCAGGCTTTTTCAAAGTTGAATTATTTTGAAAGATAATTTAATCTTATGTTAGGCTTAGGGTTGTGCACCTGGGCAAGATTAGGGTTAGAAAACTGTGGTGTCCTGGTGTGATTTTGATAGTTGGAATGTGCTTAGAATGTGCAGAAATCATGAGCTGTGCAGAAAAAGCAACTCACAGAAGGCTTTGTCAAAATCACCCTCTTTTTTATGTTATTTTACCCCTATAGTAGGGTTAGGGGTGTGCACATGGGTAGGGTTAGGGTTACAACATTCTGGTGTCCTGGTATGATTTTGATGGTTGGAATGTGCCTAGAATGGGCAAAAATGATGAGCTGTGCTGAAACAGCCACTCAAGGAAGGCTTTTTCAAAAGCACATTATTTAGAATGGTATTGTACCAGTATAATAGGTTTAGGGGTGTGCACCAGGGTAGGGGTGGGATTAGGAAAACGAGGCATTCTGGTATGATTTTGATGGCTGGAATTTGTTTTGAATGGGGAGAAATGATGAGCTGTGCAGAAAAAGCTACTCAAGGAAGACTTTTTCAAAATCGCCAATTTCAATAGTATTTCCCCCCTATATTAGGGTTGTGGGAGTGCACCATGGTAGGGTTAGGCCAGTGGTGGCGAACTCATGGCATGCATGCCACAGTGTGCACGCAGAGGTCTCTCCATCGGCATGCGAGCCTAGTCGCCCCAGCATTGTCCCAGAAGCCAAGCATTGTTTAGCAGCACACACAGGGGCTATGCGCATGCTTGGAAAGAGTATTGGTACCAGGCGATGATATAACGAGTCGTGACTCATTAGCCATGACTTGTCCTCGCTTTCGCATGACCAGTCAGTACCCTGCCAAGGAAAGTATTATTATCTTTTCCCCAAAGCAAAGCAAAGCAAAGCAACTTAAAAAATCCCTAACAACTATAACTGGGGTAACTTGGGATGTGAAAGCTACTTCAGGTCCTTTGCTATGATAAGCAGTAAAAATAACAAGAAAGTATCAGTTGCCACAGAATCGAAAAGTCCTATGGTATCAACCTTTCCCTGAGGGGACTGGAACTAGCTGTAGTAGCAGTGTGTGTCTCCCTGCTATCTTATGCTGCAACTGACAAAAACACATGATTTTATAGCTGGTTCCATTTCAGGAGACCATCAGTAACTACCAATGCAGATCTCCCAGTCTCTGTTCAGTTCTAATAATCCCTTGATGGGAATAATGGACCAGAGCATAAAAGTAGACTCTGCTTCCTTTGGCACAAGTAACAGCTGGGCTCCCCATAACACATATCCATCTTGTAAAGAGAGTTAATCACATACTCCAAAATAAGGGAACAGAAATTGTCTCTAGCCCTTTCTTCTTATGAAATAATTTGCCTGTGAAAGGGTCCTGTAATTTTTGTTGGGCTAGAATTTCAAAGAAGCAGCTAGGATCTGCTCTTGTATAAGTGCAGGAAATGGAGTTGAAATAATAGCAACTCTTTCTTCAACACTTTCCAATGAATTCTTTCCAGTGAATTTCCTGAAAAGGCAGACAAAACAGCCAGTTGTCACATATTCAGTCCCTGGTCTGTTTTGTATTTAAAGAATAGTAGATTTGCTGACCATCTAGCAAAATGATTTGCTACTCGTTCTGCTCCCTTTGTGGTTAATAAGACTGTCAAAGTGATCAGTATGTATTTCAGATACATGGTCCGGTATCTATTTCCTCCATTTTTCTGGAGCCAAAATCAAATACCTCTCTTCTTCTATTTCTTCTGAGCCTTAGTAAGTGTTCTTGGTGCAAATGCAACCGTTCTCTTAAGTTTATCCTCATAGAAGTGCATTATACAGCTCCTAGTCTATAACCAGAAGCATTTATTGTCACAGTTATGGTTAATACAGGATTAAACAATGCAAGTACAGGAACGTTAATAATCAAACTTGTCACCTTTGTGACACAACCTTGTGAAGCTGCTGTTCAAATCAAATTTACTATTCTTCTTAATGAAGAAGCTCAATGGATGCATAGTTAGATCCATAGTTATGAATACATTTCTCATTCCAAGAAGTAAGACCAGTGAAAGAACATCCAGTTTGTGCCTCTGACATTGTCAACAGATAATCAAGCTGAGGTTTCAATCTCTGTGGTGAAATTATGCATCTCAGAAAGGAATGTTCCGTTCATCTAAATTTATATTTATCCAAATTAAACTTCAAACCTATTGCACTAATACAGCAGACCACAAAATACTTTCATGTTCTTCAGGAGTATTCCTAAACACAACAGTATTATCCAGATAACAGATATGGATTGTGTAAACTGCCCAGAGAGTTTTGGCTGTGGGGTGCCAGTTTCTGGTTTGACATTTGGTTTGTCTACTTTAAAAACTATTTGAAAGGAAGTTGGGATGTTCCCACCCTGCCCACACCCATAGTAGTATTCACCACATTATATTGTTGGCAGTGTTGACTCATAATGGCATAACAGTGGCAGTTAAATCATACCTCCCCTCCACCCCCTAAATGCTGTTAGGATAAGATTGCATGGAGGAGAATTATGTAAGCCACCTTGAGTTCCTTGAATGGAAAAAAAGATTGCATATAACTATAATAAATCAGTAATGAAGACCTTTAGGAACCCTGTAGGAATTTGGCTTGGGTACATCCCTGTTTCCTAGGGGACGCAGTGATGCCTTGGGTTGCCTGTGTGAAGCAACAAACCTGAACTGATTGAGAACCTCCAGGTTCTGCTGTATTCTGCCTTGTGTGTGTACTGAATCTCAAGTGCTGGATTTTTTCACATGAAAACAGATGCATTTTCACATGCATTTCCTCAAATACATGCATCAACTGCATACATCTTTGGAATGTACCATTTCCTCCATTCATTAAAGTGTGTTTGTGCACATTTTCGTCCACACTTTCCAAATGTATATATTTTCTAACACAGGTTTGTTGTTGGGCGAATTGTATGGCATGCTCAGAAAAGTATTGTCTTAAAGTCAATGATTGATTCTGAGAAGTAATGGGATAAATGTAGGTTAAAAATGAATTGGAATTGACTTCACTTGCATCTCAACTTGAAAGTCAAGCTTCTAAGAATGCTAAGATTTTGTAACTGAGCCAGAATCAGATGAGTTCCCATGGCAGCCCTAGTGTTTCATACTCTTTTTGATTAATGTATAATAATAATAATAATTATTATTATTATTATAACATTTCTATGCCGCCCCTTGCCGAAGCCTCGGGGCAGCTTACAACACAATAAGATACATTGAAATACAATAGAACATAATAAATTACCACTAAATACAAAAACACAAAAAATACACTGAGATACAATAATATAAAATTATAATATAATAATCAGCCAGTTTCCTGTATCGAAAATGCCTTGTTTCTGATATGATTGTTATTGCCTTCAGTTTTATAGCATTCCATCATATATTTATTTGTATATTTGTAAATATTTGCATTTTGTTTAATTTTTATACCACCTTGAGAGAGTTTCACTTTTGAAGGTGCGCCTAAAAAGTCTTTTAAATAAATACATTCTGGGGTGCTTTCCTAGTACACTAGGATATTAATAGTCACCCCTTCCTACTAGGTCAAAGGGCTCAGCTTCCATTCTTGTCCATCTGCCTCTGCTCTCTGCAGTAGAAAGATGGATGCTGAAACAATAGCAATTCTTCACACTCCATTTTCGTGGTGCTGCTGTGTCTCTCTGTGTGGGAGCGCCTGCATTTAGTGGTACTTAAACTGTAGCTCGCATGCTTGGCTGTCATGCTGGATTGGGAGAGCTACTTTTCCTTTAGCTGCCTTCCCTAGGGATATTGTCACATCCATAATGTATCGAGGTTATGCAAGGGCCTGCATTTTTACCTATATTCATTTCCCCAAATGCTTTGCAAAGATTGCATAGGTATAGCTTATGTTGGGACTTGCATGGAGTGGTTTCATTGGTATGTTCATGATGGACAGTTTTAGTGGGGTGGCATAAGGGTGTGGAAATGGGGTGTGTACCAGTTGGGTATTCGTGTCTTCCTGTAGATGCGGTCCCTAGATTCACCCTGTGTACAATGAGGAATTGTAGGTTTTGTGATAAATGTTGTAATCTTCATCAGTTTCATTCTGGAGGAACAAGCCCTGCATTCACTAATGTGCAGGGGGTTTATTGGCAGTGAAGGGGCAGGCAAGCATGGCAATTTGTGGAAAGCATCAATGCTTGCTGGAAAGTAGAGCCAATATACAACTGTAATGGGGAAGACTGAGCTCTGCTGAACAATCACACTGATCCAAATTCCAGCAGCACCTAATAAATGAACATAATGATTTCTTCCCATTGCCTCTCTCTGCCTGACTCCATTTTCTTTCATTACTATGACTCCCCTTATTCACGTAATCAATTTTCCCTCCCAAGTTATGTCTCACTGCAGCACTGAGCTCTTTGCAGCCAATAGAGGAGTGCTAGAAAAGGAGAGAGGCATTTCCCTCCAATTACAGCTTGATTGAAACAAAACATTTTAACATTCACCGCAATCTGTGTATGTACTGCTGTAGGAACATGGAATTCCCTGGCCCTGCTTAGTATGAATGCTCGGCAGTTGATGATCAGCTGTGGATGACTGCTGCAGCCCCTTGTTTCCTCTTGAATATCTTTCACCATTTGTGCTTTCTTTCTTATGTGTGTGTGCTTTCTTAAAAGCTAAACTCTGCAGAGTGGAAAGAGACTGAAGGCATACGGAGAGTAGTGCCTTGTACATGAGCAAGTCCGGAGGCTATGTTGCAGTAGTACAAAAGTGCAGAAGTTAAGGAGAAAGTGAAGTAGGTTTTATAGAGCTGGATTTCCAAAGGCATAGTGATCGTTTTCCTGCTGGACCAGCTTTTAAAACATTAGCATTTCTTTGGGGAACAGCCTAGTTAAAGTGCTGGGAGATATAATTAGGGCTGCAACATTTAACTTTGGTTAGACTAACCAATTTCTTTTTAAACACCTTTCTGATCATCTAAAAGCCTGCCTTGATAAGTTGCCAAGTGGAGTTTTCTGCTGTTTTTAAAGGCATGGATTCTAATAAAAGTCCTTGCCTCCATC